AGAAGAAAAAAGCGACAAATTATGCAAAATCATGCACCTTCTACTTGCTTTGCACAATTTTCACTTTTCCCTCCGTTACCATGACCTTTCTTAATAAAAAATGCCATTACTCAAAAAGTAAGAGGTTTTTCAACCTAATCTTGTACCATATGGTAGAAAACTATATGAAGCAAATATTCAAACCAGTTTGTTAAGGATATGTAAGTGAGAACCAAGAGTTATCACTGTTTGTATTTATTGCCCAAAAAGTGCTGCATATTTCATTCCCTCCGTTACCGACATGAGTTTTTAAATTTTTTGTCAACTTGAAAGAATATCACAGGTTTAACTTTACCCTGTTGGAGTGTAACTCTTTCCTACATTCTGATACCTTATTTATTTCAATAGTCCCTCTAGTTTCTGAATAAGAGCTATTTGAATGTAAAAAATCTGTCCCTGTTTCCCTCCGTTACCACTTGACCGGACCCCAATCTATAGCCATTAGTGTTATATGAGACAATGTAACTTCAGTTTTCTCAAAATGCTCCCCGTAGGGACATAAGGATCAGCCCATAATGATCCAAGTAACACCAACATGCACCAAAATATCCCATCTTGTGCTAATGACAATTTTGACGAAACATGTAGAAGATGTTTTGTGTATCTAATTCCAAGTCAGTTTTTTTAAGTTTTAACTTTAACTTAAGAGTCGAAATTTGAATTTTTATGCAAATTTTCAGTCTAGTTTACTCAAATACTCAATAAGGTATCGAAAATACCCTCTATATACTGTATGTTTTATTATCTAATGTCAACAAAAAGAAGCAATGATTCATGGCTCTTTCCATGTTTCTATTTTGATTGTTCCCAAAATGGCCTCATAACATCACACGATTAAAAACGTGTATTTTTTTCCCCCTTGCATTTATGTAAGTAAACTACAGCAGAAGTTTTAAATTGATATCTCTAAATTGACAGTGAGGTGAGTCAAAAAGAAAGACATGGCACACGTGATTAGAACTGTATACAATATTTATTGACAATGTATTTATCTCCATAGGGTTTCATGTAGTAAAGATGGACACTGGTTTTACGGGGCTTTGGGGAATCCAGGTGAATGGCACAGACAGGATTGAGAGAGAGAGAGAAACAGAAAGAAACAGACAGAGAGAAAGAAACAAAGAGAGAGAGAAGAGAGAAAGACAAAGAGAGAAACAGAAAGAGAGAGACAGAAAAAGACAGGAGAGACAGAGGCAGAAACAGAGAGAGACAGACAGAAAAAGAGAGACACAGAGACAGAGAGAGACACAGACAAAAAGGGAGACAGAGAGAGAGGAACAGAGAGAGAGACAGGGAGAGAGATACAGAGACATAGAGAGACAGAGAGAGAGAGAAACAGATACAGAGAGAGAGATACAGAGAGAAAGAGAGATGCAGAGAGAGAAGCAGAGAGAAGCAGAGAGAGAGAGAGACAGAGAGAGAGAGAGAGAGAGAGAAGCAGAGAGAGAGGGACAGAGAGAGAAGCTGAGATAGAGAGAGAAGCAGAGAGAGAGAGAAGCAGAGAGAGAGAGAAGCAGAAAGAGAGGGAGAGAGAGAGAAGCAGAGAGAGAGAGAAGCAGAGAGAGGGACAGAGAGAGAAACAGATAGAGAAACAGAGAGAGAGAACAGAGAGCGACATAGAAACAGAGAGAGAAAACAGAGAGAGAAACAGAGAGCGACATAGAAACAGAGAGAGAAAACAGAGAGAGACATAGAAACAGAGAGAGAAAACAGAGAGCGAAACAGAGAACATAGAAACAGAGAGAGAAAACAGAGAGCGAGAAAACAGAGACCAAAAGAACAGAGACAAAGAGACAGAGAAACACACACACAGAGAAACAGAGAGACAGTCAGAAAGAGAAGACAAAAGAGAAGAAAAGAGAGACAAAAAAGACAGAGTGATAGAGACAGAGAGAGACACACACACACACACACATAGAGAGAGAGAGAATCCCAGAGAGAGAAAAAGCCAGAAAGAGAGAGACAGAAAAACAGAGAGAGAGAGAAAGAAAAAGGAAAGATAGAAGGAAGATTATGGCGCTGCCGGAGAGAGGAGTCCAGGGCAGCATTCAGGCTAAGGCTTCTTTTGTGAGTGTGTGCAAACCATCACCAGATGAACCGTCACACAGGCTTCCCCCCCGTCTCAGTTTAAAGCCTCCATTGAAAACTCCCGTAACACCCAACCATTTCAGGAAAAAGTCACCATTTACAAGTTTCTGTAAAGTTATACAAGGGGCTATGAAAAGACTCCCAAAATTGAACGTTTAAAACCATCATTCTGTGGAGGAAATGTTAAAATGGTCAAAGCAATGGCCAGAAGAGTGTCCGTTCACACACACTTTTATAGACAGGAGTATAAAAATATATATCCAACCAAAAGCACTGTGAATCCAAACACAAAAGAATGAACTATAGAGCTTTCTTACAATGTGCTTAGTCGATACTGTCCGGTCAGCATACATCCACCACACGTTCACTCAAACACGCTGTTTTATCGTTTATAAATTTCAGCTGTTTCTACTTGAGATGTTCTGTGTTCGCTTCATTTTCAGCAGCTGAGGCGTCTGGGTTTTCAGTGTGTAGGTTCAAAAGAAATGAGTTTGTAGGTACACAGCGCCAGACGTAAAGTTGGGGTAAGAGGAGGATTTTGAAAAGCAATCATGTTCAAAGTGTTAAAATTTTGTGAAAATGGAAACGAATGGTGAAGCAATGAAGTGTCCTCTGTATTTTTAGAGTCACGTGCTACAACCTGGGCAGCCAAAACCACACTCTTTGACAAAACTTTACAGTGAAGTGTAGGTCTGGAATGAATGATATGAGAATTTTCGAGATGTGTGATACAAATGAGCAGCTGTGGTTGGACCATCCCTCTAGAGCAGTTTTTCTCAAAGACTGAGTTGCGATCCTCAAGGTGGGTCGCAAGATTTTTTATTTTTTTTGGGTCACCTTGTCAGGATCTGGCCAGGCTGGTGCCACCTAGTGCCTTTGCTCAATTTCATTTCTTTCCAGCAACTAGGTCAGGAATCGGAATACACTACATGGTTCGCAAAAACACCGGAAGTGCGAGTTTGGGCACCAGCCAATCAGGGAAGAGCCATATATTCTGTGTTGGCAACGATTCCTGAGATCGAGGATTTAAAGCCGGAACAAAGAGAATGTTCGGTGTATTTTATCAAGGGGAAAGACGTTATTGCCCTTCTTCCTACGGGATTTGAGAAAAGCTTAATGTACTGGTTAGTCCCATTAATAGCGCATTACATAGATCACGACCAAATAGCGGCGATTGGTTAATTAATAAAAAGTACTCGCCTACTGTCGATCGAACAATTTCTAATGCTGCAAGGTCAATCAATCAGGCTAGTTACGATCTGCATGTAGGTTGAAATGTTAAGACATGTTTTGTATAATTTCTAATCTTTTTGTAATAATTGTATTGACTATTTTGTTCCAATATTGCTGGTTCAGTTGAAAGTTGAAAAGAAAAAGAAATGGGCTACGTCTAATGTCCAAATAGGCGACTTATGGATCCTTTTATTGCTGCTTCAATGACAGTTTTTCCTTGTTTAAAACTTGAGTGATACTAATTGTTCAGAGACATGATCACTCAGTCAACAATAAAATATCCTCATTAATGTCCAATGGTCAAATCCATCCTTTATTTTGTGATTTATGAATAATGTCTATTGATTTGGGTCATGAAGGTTTGTGACTTTTAAAATATGGGAATTAGAGACAGTGATTGGCACGTCCCAAATAAGGAGAGTTTATAAACAAAGGGTCATCAGAACCAAAAAACTGTGAATGCCATTCCAAACCTTATACTGTCCTTGGCTACAGGACATTTTTCCAAACTCTGTCCTCACTCAGACATATTGTGGGGAGCCCATTTCCCTTGTTAAATGGTGAATATGAAATCCTTCCATCAGGCAGGTCAGGCAGGTGATAATGAGCACATGACGTTTAAAGTAACAGATATAACCTCTCATTTGTGCCAACTTCTGCTGCACTTTTAAACAAAGCTGTTTCAATGTGAAATTAAATCACTTTATATCTGACTTTTAGTATCTGTGGACTTGTGGTGCTTGAAATGGTTCTGTATTCATTGTTGTCATTAATTCTGTCGTATAAAAGACTGATGCGATAACTTGGGCCCCTTATCACTGTGCCGAGCGCAAAATGGTGTCTGGACAAGGGACATTTAAAGTGTCTTCTTTTATTGTTTGTAGTCTGTGGTGACTGCAGTGTACGAGAGAGTAGTGTTCAAGTGTGTAGTGTACGAGCGTTGTGTATGAACGTTGTAGTGTATGAGCATGTAGTGTTCAAGCGTTTAGTGAACGAGAGTGTAATGCAGGAGTGTATAGTGTACGAGTGAGTAGTATTTGAGTGTGTAGTGTTAGAACATGTAGTGCATGAGTGTGCAGTAAACCAATATGTAGTGAACCAGTAGTGTAGCGTTCGTGTAGGGGCATTTAGTGTATGAGCGAGTAGTGAATGAGCATGTAATGTATGAGTGTGTAGCGTACGAGCAAGTAGTGTTCGAGCGTGTAGTGTACTAGTGTGCAACGTAGGAGTGTGCAGTGTACGAGCGAATAGTGAACCAGTATGTAGTGTACGAGCGTGTACTGTAGAAGTGTGTAATGTACGAGTGTCTAGTGAACCAATATGTAGTGTATGACCGTGTAGTGTAGAAGTGTGTAGTGTATGAGTGTGCAGTGTAAAAGCCTGTAGTGTATGAGTGTGTAGTGTAGGAATGTGTAGTGTACGAGTGAGTAGTGTTGGAGCGTGTAATGTACAAGCGTGTAGTGAATAAGTATGTAATATATGAGTGTGTAGTGTGCAAGCGTGTAGTGTACGAGCGAGTAGTGTACGAACGTGTAGTGTACGAACGTGTAGTGTACCATCATGTAATATATAAGCATGTAATTTATGAGTGTGTAGTGTATGAGCCTGTAGTGTATCAGCATATAGTGTATGGGCGTATAATGTATGAGCGAGTAGTCTACGAGCGAGTAGTCTACGAGCGAGTAGTGTACGAGCGTGTAGTGTACGAGCGAGTAGTGTACGAGCGTGTAGTCTACGAGCCAGTAGTGTACGAGCCAGTAGTGTACGAGCCAGTAGTGTACGAGCGAGTAGTGTACGAGCGAGTAGTGTACGTAGTACGAGCCAGTAGTGTACGAGCGAGTAGTGTACGAGCCCAGTAGTAGTGTACGAGTGTACGAGCAGTAGTGTACGAGCCAGTAGTGTACGAGCGTGTAGTGTACGAGCCAGTAGTGTACGAGCGTGTAGTGTACGAGCGAGTAGTGTACGAGCGTAGTGTACGAGCGTAGTGTACGTGTAGTACGAGCCAGTGTAGTGTACGAGCGTGTAGTGTACGAGCCAGTAGTGTACGAGCGTGTAGTCTACGAGCCAGTAGTGTAGAGTGTACGAGTGTAGTGTACGAGCGTGTAGTGTACGAGCGAGTAGTCTACGAGCCAGTAGTGTACGAGCCAGTAGTGTACGAGCGTGTAGTGTACGAGCGTGTAGTGTACGAGCGAGTAGTGTACGTAGCGAGTAGTGTACGAGCCAGTAGTGTACGAGCGTGTAGTGTACGAGCGTGTAGTGTAGTGTACGAGCGTGTAGTGTACGAGCGTAGTAGTGTACGAGCCAGTAGTGTACGAGCGTGTAGTGTACGAGCGTGTAGTGTACGAGCCAGTAGTGTACGAGCGTGTAGTGTACGAGCGTGTAGTGTACGAGCCAGTAGTGTACGAGCGTGTAGTGTACGAGCGTGTAGTGTACGAGCGTGTAGTGTACGAGCGAGTAGTGTACGAGCGTGTAGTGTACGAGCGTGTAGTGTACGAGCGTGTAGTGTACGAGCGAGCGTGTAGTGTACGAGCGTAGTACGAGTGTAGTGTACGAGCGTGTAGTGTACGAGCGTGTAGTGTACGAGTGTGTACGAGCTGTAGTGTACGAGCGTGTAGTGTACGAGCGTGTAGTGTGTACGAGCGTGTAGTACGAGCCAGTAGTGTACGAGCGTGTAGTGTACGAGCGTGTAGTGTACGAGCGTGTAGTGTACGAGCGTGTAGTGTACGAGCGTGTAGTGTACGAGCGTGTAGTGTACGAGCGTGTAGTGTACGAGCGAGTAGTGTACGAGCCAGTAGTGTACGAGCGTGTAGTGTACGAGCCAGTAGTGTACGAGCGTGTAGTGTACGAGCGTGTAGTGTACGAGCGAGTACGAGTGTACGAGCGAGTGTGTACGAGCGAGTAGTGTACGAGCGAGTAGTGTACGAGCGAGTAGTGTACGAGCGAGTAGTGTACGAGCGAGTAGTGTACGAGCGAGTAGTGTACGAGCGAGTAGTGTACGAGCGAGTAGTGAATGAGCTCATACACTCTGTTTGAAGCTGTGAGCAGTCAGCCCAAGACCATAAAGTTTGTCTGAACGAGACATTTGTGTACCCCAACCTTACGACCGCCTCTGTGTACACCGGCTGTGAGCGTAACCTGAGTGGAGTTTGGGGCTGATTTTAAAACATGCCATAGTGTGCAGTGTCTTTTTCACCGACTGAACTAAATGTTACACAGCCACTCCACACTTCAGAAATAATAATCACAACTACATTCATGATTAGACCTGTTACATTTGGCAGTAAGTCAAAGTGGACTGAAAGAGCAGAAAGAACCAAACCATGGCATTTTCACTGAGTGTTTGAGTGACACGCTAAAAGAGGCTATTTACACAGTTTCAATATAGTTTGCATTCGCTTACAGTATAAATATTATTATTGAAAGTTTCATTTAGTCTTTTCTGTAGAAAGGCCATTTTATTTACAAAGAGAATAGAATATGTACCAATCCAAAGGCTAGTATTTGCAGTATCATATATGTACATACATAATTATGATTACTTTAATGGCGCAATATGTGGCTTTTCTGGTGTGGGGTCCGTCGTCTTTTTGTCTCCGTGGGCGATGTTGCTTTCCAGGGAACTTTCCACAGTATGGCGTTAAACTTCATTAAATTACAAGTGTTTTCAGTGTTCAAAATGACCCTGAAAAGCAATAACACCACGAAGACGAGCTGGCGAAGAACCCCGCACCGGTAAAGTTACATAGTGTATCTTTAAGCACAGCACGTCCTTCAAAAACCAAAAAAAAAAAAAGTGCCTATGCTGTTAATAACTATATCTGTAATAAAACGTATGATTAAGACCAGATACCATTGTGTACATAAAAAAATCGGACAAATGTGAAATTAAAAAATAATAATTCTCACAAAACACGAGATTATAGTGAAAGTCCTTGGCCTCTTCCAAAAAAGAAAAAGGTATTCCATTTTTAAATATAACCACAAATCTTCATAAACGGCTAAATTTCCTATGCGAGGTTGAGGTCAAACATGGTGAGAAAACAGGTGACCCAAATTGAAAATAGTAGAACGTTAACATTGACTACAGCATGCAGTAACACACCCCCAGTGGCTACATATTAAAAAAACAACTAAAGCGGAACCTCCCGTCACACCTCCACGCCCAAATGAAACGGCAGTACAAAGGAGTGACTCATTTGTGTAAAGTGAAATGATACGCTAAGTTCTCGTTAATTCTATGAGTCTAATTATACTCACACAGATCTGGCGGTAAAAGTAGCTCTAAAGGGCAGTTCTGTGGTCATTTGGTCCGAAGGCAGAATGGCCACCTCATCAAAGTAAAAATAAACCATAGACAGTAGTTAAAGTGAAAGGCTTTGTGCTGTCTGAAAAGTGCACTGTGTAACTTTTCTGGTGGAGGGTCTACTTGCTACTTGCTTGTCTCCCTGGAATGTTCCATGATATGACATTAAACATCTAGCATTTATTCATTAAATGTTTCTGTTGCTCAAAAATACAATAATTCTTTCTGTGCATAAGGGTGACTCTCCGCAGATGTAGTGTAGTTCTGTAACCTGCTTTACTCCCTTGCGATAGATAGTTTTAATCTCTACTGTGGAACATTCTAGACAAAGCAATGACATTTCCATGACGACAGGTAACAGGTAGCGGACCCTCCACCGGAAAAATTGTCTTAAAAATGCAATGGTCCAAAGTTATTCCTCTCTTGCCTTAAGGATTCCGAGCATCCTCGTTACTCACCACGATGATTTTATAAGCACTTTTCTCAACATTCAGAGCAGAGTTTTGCCGTCAATGTGAAGATAAAAGCAACTGGAATGCTAATGCACACTTCCTGATTAAAAAAAAGTGGCCATTCCCAAAGACTGCAGTATCATGACCCCCCTTCCCTTTCAATTACCGTGTTTTTCGGACTATAAGTCACACTTTTTTCATGGCTTGGGTGGTCCTTAGACCTATACTACTGTGTGACTTACATATATTAACATTTTCACAGTGACAGCCACAAGAGGCTCTAGTCTTGTGTTAGTATTTGCTATTACTCCTGTACCACTGTCACTTCACTCTACTGCACATGTCTCCTGCAGAAAGAGCCTCTGTCCTGTCTGTATCATGTCAGTCGATTGCACCATTGCTTCTGTAACAAAACAAACTTATAAAGACAACCGAAACCATCCTGTCGGGATTCAGAAAGGCTGGAATAATTCTAACTGGAGCTGATGCCGAGTCTGACGACAGCTACACAGAAGAGGAAGCGTCGCTCTGTTTACCTCACGGTCGCAGAGTTGCTCAGAAGTGACACCGAGGATAAAGAATTGAATGGATTTAGTGATTTGGAGTGAGATGGAGAGTTTGGTAAACTTGTTCTGTTCTGTTGTTTATGTTATAGTTTATCTGAAGAACTGTTCATATGTGACGTTAATAGTCTGTTGTTCTGTTCTATTGTTATTACTTATGACATGTCAGTTCCAGGTCTCTGATTTTATAAAATACATTTCTCCCTAAAGTGTGACTTATATATGTTTTTTCTTCTTCATTGTGCATTTTTTGGCTGATGCGACTTATACTCCGGAACGACTTATAGTCCGAAAAACACGGTATATGTTAAAACAATATATTCTTGTGGTGTTAATACTAATATAAAGAAATATGAACAAATATCTTATGGAAAGTGTGGATCATCTGGGGGCCCTTGCAATGGTGCGGAGGCCTTGGACACCCCAATTTGGGAACCACTGAGATAAAAGCTTCTGATCAGAACACATTGGACTCATTATGATCTTAACAACTGCTTATATGATATATCTGTACTGGGCTGAGACATATTTTGATTAAATACACGGTACAAGACCTTTATGAAACAGGAAGTTGCTAGCTGCTCTGGCCTCTGGAAAACGTATCAATCCGCAATGAGGAATAACTTTGGACCACTGCAAACTGTTTAAAATAGACACATTCTGCTTTTCACACTTTTAAGACAGAAAAAATCAAGTATAACAAACAAAAATTTTACTTTGGTTAGTCATATTTCTTCCACAAAGTATCTATTTTATTTTTATGCCAATTTTTAAGTACTTTTTGTAATCACTTTTTCAATTTTCTTTTGATTTTCCATATTTGGCAACTAGAGATCGTTTCAATTCATGTTTTTAGTAACGTAAAAAAAAAAAAAAAAAGAAGTCACTGTACTGTCTATAGTTTATTAAGGGAATGTGTATTAAAACATAGTGATACTAAACGAAATCTAAGTTAAGAGAGCACCAGGTTTTGAAGGTACAGCCTCTATGGCTTTAGGATCGTCAGTGCGCAAAGGTTTTTATAAAATGCTCCTGGGAATAGACAGTTAGCACAGAGAAGTTCTATGGAAGTGTAAACTGTGACCATTAAAACTATTGTGAACGCTGTTGTCAACATGAGTGAGGAGAAAAGGTATGGTCCAATATGTGAGTTTTCATCATCTTTTGTGCTTTTTGGGTCACAATTTTTTTTAAAACAACATGGACGTTTATAAATTGTATAAAGTGCTTTTTTCATTAGTGAATTTTCAGTTTTTTAAAGGGCCTAGATTACACCAAAATTGACTCTTATGATCTTAGTCATGTTATAATGCTGTTACCTCATCAAAAACAGACCCGGAGTTGTGTTTTGTTTCGTTCACACGTTACTGAGAACCTTTTAGTATTAGTCTGTCTACATCTCCGTTCCACCTCGTGATGTCATGAAGGAGTAGTTTTCAAGTTAACAGCTATTTCTCATCTTTAGTTCAGTAGATATCGGCAACTCCAGATCTGAAATCATCCAAATGATTTCAGCGAAGGTGTACGGAGTTTAACCCTTGAGGCGCTTAGGGTTTTTCCTATACCGTTTTGAAATCGTTGAGATTTTGACATCTTAATTTCAAAAGGCTATAACTTAAAAGTGATAAGAGATTGAGACTTTCTGTAAATTAGAGAAATATTAAGGATAAGTTAAGTTTATGCAGGGATTAAATTGACCTGTCTAATTTGCATATTATGACGTCATATGGCGGCAGCCAGTAAATAAACTGTGTAAATCATTACTACTGTTATATTATAATTACATCTGGATCATTCCTGGTTTAGTATTGATTCAGACCTGGCTTAGTCCTGGTTTAGACCTGGCTTAGACCTGGTTTAGACCTGGTTAAGTCCTGGTTTAGACCTGGTTCAGTCCTGGTTTAGACCTGGTTCAGTCCTGGTTTAGACCTGGATCAGTCCTGGTTTAGACCTGGTTCAGTTCTGGTTTAGACCTGGTTCAGACCTGGTTCAGTTCTGGTTTAGTCTTTAGACCTGGTTCAGTTCTGGTTTAGACCTGGTTCTGTTCTGGTTTAGACCTGGTTCTGTTCTGGTTTAGACCTGGTTTAGACCTGGTTCAGTTCTGGTTTAGACCTGGTTCAGTCCTGTTTTAGACCTGGTTCAGTCCTAGTTTAGAGCAGGTTCAGTCCTGGCTTAGACCTGTCTTAGACCTGGTTTAGATCTGGTTCAGTCCTGGTTTAGACCTGGCTTAGACCTGGTTAGACCTGATTTAGACCTGGTTCAATCCTGGGTTAGACCTGGTTCAGTCTTGGTTTAGATCTGATTTAGACTATGGAGCACTTCCTGTATTACCACATGACTTCGCACGGTGGAACAGAGTTTTCCGCTTGAATAAAACTCCTAAAATGCATTTGTTTTTGTGTGTTAAATGTGTGAATAAAACAAAAAAAAAACACATAATTCCAGGTCTGCTTGTGATGAGGAAACAACATTATAACATAGATCAGAAAACAGCGTAATACGGGCCCTTTAAGATAGAATTATTTTCTGTCTTATTGAGTAAATATTAATTGTTAGTAGTCTTTATTCCCATATTAATCACTACTCACAAACAAACATGTACATACACAGTTATCAGGAGGATTTTTTTTACGGAATAAACCTCCTTAAATATACTTGTGTACATGTGCTTTGGGTTACATACGTTTATTTATACTTTTTTTTTTTTTTTAGTAATTTATTACTCTAACGAGGCTACGCAATTTGGAATGTATCTTTTCAAATAAATAATTAAACAAACAAATAAATAAATATAATATAATAGCTGGCAAGTAGAGGATGTTTTTATCTCACACAGTCAGACTTATGTCAATAGTCAAGTGTAGGGCAGTAGAATTATTACTATTTTTATTTATTTATTTTTTTGCGCTAGAACTAAGAAAACCTGACTTTTTTATTTAGTTATGTTTTTTTTTTTTTTTCTTTTTTAATATATATATTAGCTTCGGTCACAGTACTCAAAAATCGCCCATCGCGTTACTCCATGTAAACTTGCACCTAACTGGTATTTTGGCAACAACTCATATCCTGAAAATGTGATAAAAAATTCAAAACGAAAGAAAAACGATATAAAAAAAATAAGTTACCGCCATAGACTGTATATATAAATGGACATTAGCGAGTTAGCTATGTCGCCGCGTTCCAAAAACAACAGGAAGTGAGCATGGGCGCGCTTCCGTCTCCATCGGCTCTGATTCACTTTGTATTGAAAAAGCGTTACCTCTCTTTCCATAACGGCTGCTCATTTTGGTTATTAACCCGTTCTACATGATCCTGGCATTTTTATTCCATTATTTCATCAGTAAATCAATTCCTGTTCCTAATACAGAACTCCAAATTCACCTCTGAAACTGCAAGCCTCGTTGAGCTTCATTTGACTGGAGCGGAAAACACTCCTTTAGTCCACTTCTTTATACAGTCTACGGTCACTACTCGAATCACACGAACACAAAAAAAAAAAATCTAAACTAACCAGGAACAGGCACCTTAAATGTTTGTAATCTCGTCTTTTGAGTATCTGGCAAATACTGAAAATCCTGAATATTCAAAAACGAAACAAAAACAAAGCAAAACAAAACATGATTCAACTTTTTTTTGTTTCTATTTCGCTATATAAATGTCCCTGTTTAGTTGACGTAGTAAAGCCAGTAAACAATGTTGAAGAAGGAGAACATCGTTGGGAAGATCATCCGCGACCATTTGTCAATAGAGTTTACGTCAGTCAAGTCGGGGATGGTGATTTTGAGCTGGGACGCGCGTCTCCGTAGCCTGCTCTTTTTGGTCATGTGTCTCTCGAGTGCGTTTCGGCCGAAGTTGTGGCGGGCGAGGCCGGCCTTGCGGTACTGCAGGGTGGAGCTGTCGTACGTGAGCATGGTGTTCCGCGGGTCGTTCAGCCCCAGGGCCAGCTCCGAGATGCCCATGTCGTTCTTCAGGTCCAGGGTGCTCAGCAGGATGTTCTCGTGAGGGTCCATCTGTGTGAGAGAGCAAGAGTCGGCAAACACGGACTATTTGTTTTTAATCTAATTTACTTCAATTTGCAATTTGTAAGGTCCTAAATTATGCAAAATTGACTGAAGCACTTTGTGGTACATTTCAAATGTATGAAAAGTGCTATACAAATAAAGTTTGATTGATTGACTATTGTGAGCCTTTAGACAGCAGTGGACAGAATCTCACAGCTAACCATATGACCATATCTAAACCTCTTCTTCTTGGTTATCAAACTTTTTACACTAAGTTCCACCAGATCTAAAGACTAGTCTATATCAGGACAAAACTAGGGTTAAACTAGGGCTGTGTCCGAATGTCCACCCTGGTCCATTATCCCTCATTCACTACATGGGCCTGAACTATTAAAGGAGTGTAGTGCAGTCCACTGCTTTTGGATTATGTGACTCTGGAATCTGGGTGAAAAAAGTCCACTAAACTACAATAAAACTTCATTTGTGTCATAAATAATGATGACGTTGGACTGGCATACAAATGTTTATGGACGCACCAGTTTATTTAATAGTGTTTTATTCATAATCATGGGTTAACGGTGCATTTAAACAGTGCCCCATCTGCTTCATTCAGTCATGTTGTTAAAGACCTGTTGTTTTTATCACTGTCGCAATGCATTGTGGTCTACATTGACTGGTCTAATGACCAGCACAGGACATCACTTTTCAAGGTGTATTGTGGGGAATTTGGAGTGCACTAGTTTTTCACTCTGGACATACAGATACCACTAAAAATAACATGACCTCTAAACAGTGCCCTAAGTCTGACACGACCTTGGTCTAAAATGAGATTAGCATGGGTGAGGGAGCTGCAGATCGCCACCAGCTACTGCAGCTCAACAATGTGTTGACATAATAGTGTTGCCTTGAGACTGAAGAACATTGCACAGCATTAAAGTGCCTATGGCAGGTTAGACTACTTATTTTACTTAAAGACAGTGTGGTGGATCCCTCTGCCACCACTCCACAGTGTTAGTATTATTTCATTTACATTTAGTTAATTACAGCACACATAGTTTCATGTCATTCCTTTATTTAGATTTATATTCTAATTTAGGTGCACACGTTTTAGTTAATATAAGTCTGAATTATTATTTACATTTGTTCTTTTTTTGTTTTGTTTGAGTTTGCCAGACGGAGGACCGCGGCAGAGACCATCCACTCTGAACAAAGGGGGGAGCACTGTTTAGTTAGTTCTACTAAGTTAATTTGTCTAGTTTGTTTAAGATTACTTTATTATCACTTATTATTTTCTGTATTATACTTATTTGCCTTTTTGCTATTTTGATTCATTTAGTAGTTTTAGTTAATTATTTAGAGTAATTCCCCCTCTTGTGTTCAGTTTTAATTGGCCCTCATGTATTTAAACAGCCTGTTCTCTGTCTGGTTGGGTTCATTTTGTTCTGTTCAGTTTGATTTAAGTTGGGCTTTTTGTTAATGATTTACTGAATTTCAGCCTTTAAGTTACATCTATTTTTGACTTTATTAAATGTAAACTTATTTTTATACCTTTCTGTCCACTACAGACAGATACAATCATTACATTTAAGGTTTTGCTAATCCTTTTTGTTTTAATTCCCAGTTTGGAGTTTGGAGTTTCAAATTTTACTTCAGTTGCAAATGATAACATCACACTAGGGAATTTTATACCTGTTACCTAAAGCAACAATGCTGTACAGTATGCCAATGTAGACCGAAAGTAATATTTTAAGAATGAAAATGTAAGAAAACACCTTTATTTGTTGAACTGATGTTTAAAGTATCAGAAAAAGATGTTTCTTGATTGTAAATTGTGAGGTTTTGGATAGAATTCTTCATAGTGTGATGCCATCAATAAAATAAAACTCAACTTCCTGTCATTTTCAATATATTTTTCAACTTTTCTTCTCAAATTACTTCTCGAACTGTAAAACTATAATTTATATTTACAAGGATTTGTCTCAGATTACCCTGTTCTTCTGATCCAGTCCGATGGCTGCGTCGTCCATGAAAATGGGCTCCCACATCGAGTCGTGTCCATCCAGGTCCCTCTGCTTCATCCTGGCATACAGAGTGTCATCTCTGCCGACTACATTTCCCACAAGCCACTGCAAACACACAGCATCACTATGGTTACTTCAGTAGTTTTATCGCACAGTGAATTAGTCCATGTTATGTAATTATCGTTTACATAATTACTACTGGCATGAATACTTACAACATTTTACTCTGTATTTGTTGGCGTATTTGATTTTATTTGTTTATTATTTTGACTGAATCATTAATTGTTAGTTCTGTTCTTTTAGAGCACAGGTGTCAAACTCATTTTGGTCCGGGGGCCGTATCCAACCTACTTTGATCCCAAAGGGGCCGGATCAGAAAACTCATGTCATATAACCCCCAAAATAACAATAAGTTCAAATATTTGTGCAGAGAAACACAAAATCTATTACAGAAATCTTTTTTAATTGATGAACTCTTTCTTTTTAGCAAAATATTATAATATTATGAACAACCTGAAACTTTAAAGATGAAAAAATGTAATTTCAAACACAATGTTTTTTAACATGAACTTGTATGCAAATAGGAATAAGTCAATTTTTCTTGAAAATCCTGCACTCGGCTCCACTTTTCATTTTGACATTTTTCTGATGAGGGTGTCACGGTCAACAGTCAAAACAATCGTCCTTTAAGAGCGTTTGGAAAGAGACAAGTCTTCATTTGTGCTGCTCTGGTGGGAGGGGCCACGTACAGAGACGCTGGAAAATAACAAAGAAAATTAACAAGATTTTAATAGAAAAAATATTCAAATATTTTAGTTAGAAAATCAGCTGAGGGCCACATTAAAGGTCTTGGAGGGCCGGATACGGCCCCCGGACCAAAATGAGTTTGACACTCCTGTTTTAGAGGAACCATAAATTACACAGAAATACAAGAAACTACTTTTAGGTGTATGCTTCTTATCTTGGTTTCCAAACTGGGACAATTCCTTATTTTCTGCAAAGCTGTCACATCTCGATCCAAAGCCTGGATTCGCACCGGCTTAACGGGCTGATTCAGTCACGATACCTGGCATTGCATAAACAGACAGCTCTAGGTCAACCTTTCTTCTTTCCTCTGCGCTTGCAATTACCCTCGCCTACATACGCAGCATTATACATTTTTAAACTGCAAACTTTTGGTGCACTGGAAGCAATATTCTTTGATTCTGGATTGACTTTTTAAAGCTGTGTGAGCACCCTTGCAATGAACACAAGAGACGGATAGCTTCGGAACGCTCAAATGGCGTGGTGATAAGGTACAAGACAAAGCAGCGGTTTAGAGAGCGGTTAGAGAATTCTGGGATATTATTTCTATACTTTCTCTTCTATTTAAAGTGATAGTATGTACACTACTACTCAAAAGTTTAAGAACACCTTAATTTTTCCTGTTATTTCTTGCAATTCAAGTCGTGCAAGTCCAATGAAGAGCTTGAAATGGTACAAAGTAAGTACTGAACAGCCAGAACAGTCACTAAGCCCTGATGAAGACCAGTTAAGGTCGAAACATGTTGGCTTTGGCCGTTCAAATAAAGGCCTTTTAACTACATTTTTCCTCGTGCAATTTTTTTTTTTTACTTTTTCTATTTCTTTGGAGTGCCTGGGGTCCATTGTGTTTTAGTTTTGATCCTTTTTCCAAGAGCACCCTCTACCTGCTCCCACTGATTGGAACACCTGCAGCAAACAGCCATTTTTTTGTTCTTTCTGCACTGAACAGCCAGAGTAAAAAAAAAAAAAAAAAAAAGATAAAGACCCAAAACACAAGTCCAAGCTCTGCCAAAACTACCTCAGGGGAAAAGAACAAGACGGTGAAGCTTGAAAACATGAAGTGTCCAGCACAGTGTCCAGACTTAAACCCCATCGAACTGGTTTGGGATGAACTGGACAGAAGAGTGAAGCAACCTACAAGTGCCACACATTTATGACTTGAAGAACTTTCTGAACAATATTTGATTTCTATTGTAAAAAGAACGAGCCTCGAGTGTGTTCAGCTGTTGTTTATGTTACAGTTGTCTGAAGAACTGTTCATATGTGATGTTAACAGTCTGTTGTTCTATTCTCATTACTGTAACTTGCCTTTCAACATGAAATGTCGCTTCCTGGTGTCTGAAGGTGTCTGGTGGTGATTTTATAAAATAAATTTCCCCAAAAAGTGTGACTTATAGTCTGATGTGACTTATATGTTTTTTTCTTCTTCTGGCTGGTGCGACTTATACTCCAGAGCGACTTATAGGCCAGAAAATTTTAGGTATTTGAACATGACTTAAATCAGTTTTACAGTGGATACTTTTTACTTTTATTTCACTACATTTGAGAGCAAGTCTACAGATACAGACAGGATTGAAAAGTAAAAAAACAAAACAAAAAAAACTGCTGAAATGGCTGGGACTTATTATTATTTTATACTACTTTTATTTGAGTTTCCGTTCTAAGTTTGAGCAACACAACACACAAAAACACAAAAGTGAAAAGAAAGAATAAGGAATAAAACACTTAAAATCTGCAAACTTTCAAAATCACATTTCATCCTTTAATTGTTCTAAAACAAATGTTGTTTTAGTGTGGGATATTATTGTTGTTTTAGTGTGGAATATTACAACCAAAGGGACATTTCCATGGAAACCAGCAATGAGAACACATGTTTTTTTTAGTGGAATTGCTGTTTTTGTGGCTTTAAATTTGAATAAACAAATAGTGTTTAATGCCATACTGAGGAACATTCCAGGCAAAGAAACCACAAACAGACAAAGTTTAAAATGTCTTGAATTGATGTGGTCTCTTATAAATCCATACACTTTACACAAACAGAAACAGAACAAATAAAAAACAATACAAAGAAAGTGTGGAGACCTTGTTCGGGTCCATCCTCAGCTTCTCGTTGTTGGCGAGAGAGGACCTTTCAGCAGCTTTCTTCTGTCTCTGCGGCCCGCGTCCGAAGAAGATGTAGTTGACGAAGGCGTACTCGAGTAGGGCGAGGAATACGAAGACGAAGCAGCCCATCAGGTACATGTCGATGGCCTTCACGTACGGGATTTTAGGCAGTGTTTCTCTCAGATGGGTGTTGATGGTGGTCATGGTCAGCACAGTGGTGATACCTGGAGAAGGTAAAGGGAGATATGCTGTTCATGAACAAGGCAAGATGTTCTGGTGCATCTACACTAAGACAATGATAATGGCTTATGTAGTAGTAGTAGTAGTAGTAGTAGTAGTAGTAGTAGAAGAAGAGGTAGTAGTAGTAGTAGAAGAAGAGGTAGTAGTAGTAGAAGAGGTAGTAGCTTGAGGTAGAAGTGATATGATGTTGTACCATCATAGTAGTGATAAAAGTAGAAGCAGTAGTAGAAGAGGAAGTGCAAAAATAAAAGTACAGTAGTTAAGTACACATTTTAGGTATCTGAACATGACTTAAGTCAGTTTTACAGTGGATACTTTTTACTCTTATTTAACTGCATTTGAGAGAAGGTATCTGTGCTTTCTACTCCACTACATTTTAAATACTTTTTTTTAAAATGGTTTGACACCTGCTGAAATGGCTAAGACTTATTTATGGTACATTTCACTTGAGTTTCCATTCTAACTTTGAGTATTTATGATAGATAGATAAATAAATAAACACACAAGTGTGTGTGTATGAGTATTTTTATACATTTGCATTTACATTTTAGACATTTTTTAAATGTCTAGACAAGAGTGTGTTAGTGTGAATCATTACGGTCAGAATAGAAAGAATTCAGATTTAAAAGTGCTACATAAGTTATTTTGTCATGAAAGATTATGTCCTTTGTAGTTCCCTCTGTTTTATAGTATTGTACTGTATATTAATGTATATTACTGAAGTACATTTGCGGATACCATCTCACAGTACTTCAGTTACATCCAAAGTGTGTTTTGCTCCATTCACACATGTTTGAGTAACTCTGTATTAGTTATTATTAGTAGATTATTAGTCCATCTACATCTCCAAAGCTCAAATGCACTGTTCCACCTTGTGATGTCACGAAGTCAACAGCTACAACACTTTACATTTTACCTTTAGTTCTGTAGAGATTGGCAATTCCAGAGCTAAAATGATACTAACGATTCTAGTGAAGGTGTATGGAGTTTAAAGCACTTCCTGTATCACCACATGACATCACAAGTTGGAACGTAGATAGTAGTACTTTCAAGATCTGTCTGTGTTTTTCAATCACTTGACCTTTGAACCCAAACCACAATGCCGTTAAGTAAGTTATTGGTCGGATGGAAAAAAAAAAGGATCAATCTCAAATGCAGGAGTGGTACAGATTCTTGCAAATTGGAAATACAAATTCAACTTTATTCTACTATTTCTATGTACAGCTGCTCATCGCAACCTAAAACTCTACGTCTAAACCAGTCCTTGATACTAGCTGAGCGTTCATTATTCACCAGACTCGTAAAATCTGAAATTCTAAGTGATGTTTGTGAGAGCCCAGGACAGTTCCTCCCTTCTGACGGAGAGCGACCTCCCCGATTAAATCAATGCCACTTCTACATTTGATTAGGACTGTCAGGATCGATGAAACCAAGGACCTCACTCTTGTGCTTTCAGATGCAGTTATAAAAATGAGCCAAAAAGAACTGCACCGCCAGAAATGTGAAAATCTGAAATTCAAATGTCAGCCATCATCCTGATCATTAGCACGAACTCCTGCTGGGAGATCTGAGTCATATAGTAACTTTTTTGAAAACGAATACTATTGCAGTGGATATTTCTTCCTTTAGTTTCATATGTAAGATTTTTGTACACTTTTTGTCATTTATTTTGCAAAATTTCTCCTCAAAGAGTCCACACTGAGCATTATTTAGACTTTTTAAACTTCTCTTGACACTTGAGTCTTGGTATTTACTGCACCGCAAGTTTTTTATTTTGGAAACTACGCAAAAGCTTCAAAACACCAGCAGAGGGCGCTAGAATGTTATCTACAGCACATTAAAGAGTAATTGTATGAAGCTAAAAAGCAATGGAAGCTTTGAACTTTTTTGCCCCAAGACTGAAATTGGGCGACAAACAAAGGTTCTAATCTAAAAGAAGCATTGTGTAACTTTTCTGGTGGAGGGTCCATCAATTCTCTGTCTGGAATGTTTCACAGTATGGTATTAACCCTTTCTGTCTTCATGGAGACCAAACCAGACCAAGTTACAGGTCAGATCTGTGAAAAGGCAACCTCACTCGCTGTTACTGCTTAGGTATTTTTGAATAAACATGAGATAATCCATACCGGCTTAAAAAGCTTAAAAAGCCTGGTCCTGTCAGTTCTCAGAAGTTCAGCAGGACTGGGTCTGGTCAGTACTTGGATGGGAGACGACTGGAAAAATCAGGAGCCACAGGGGGGCACCAGTCTCAAAAACTGTTGTTGTGTCCTTGGGCAAGACACTTCACCCACATTGCCTAGTATGAAAGTGGTGTGTGAGTGATGGTTAGAGAGGTGATGGCGCCGTTTGGCAGCCTTGCTTCTGTCAGTCTGCCCCAGGGCAGCTGTGGCTACAGCTTACCACCTCCAGCTATAGAGTAAATGAATAGTAAGGAAGTAAGGAAGTCTTTTATTTATAGCACTTTTCACAGGCATATGTCACAAAGACACTTTACAGAACATTATTCAGCATTATTCATTCACTCTATACCTAGTGATGCGGCTACCACGCCATTGGTCTCTCCGATCACCACCATCACTCACACACACACACCACTTTCATACTAGGTAAGTGTCTTGCTTAAGAACACAACAGTTTTTGTGACTAGCTCCCCACAATAATGCTGTGTAAAGCGTCTTTGAGTGTCCAGAAAAGTGCTATATAAAACTGATGCATTGTTATTCATTATTATTATGATCTGTTTAATGTCATACTGTGGAACATTCCAGACAAGAAGTGACATATCTATAGAAACAAGCAGGTGCACAGACCCCTAACCATAAAGTTGCAGCACAGATCTTTAAAATAAACTGTATGTGACCTGTGCTCTTACTGTTAAAAAAAAAAAAAAAAAGCTACTAAAATCATAATTGAACCTGTGTTGTCAGTATCTGAATACAGACGACACATGCATGTTTTGTTTTTTCAATCATTCTCAGTACATGTACAAACCATGGTTCATGTTAAAGCTCAGAACCTCCAGAATTCCCTCCCTGAGCTGCAGAGGCTGCACTAGCACTGGCTCATGACTGACTGCAGGTAGTAGGGTTTACGTAGTGACCATTCAGATCAGAGAGGCATTTTAGGTTTAAAACACACTGGATTTCAAATGAGAGAATCATGGGAGGCGCATTGTGCTTTCTGACTGGACTCTAATTAATAATAAATCAGCTTTGAATTGTTACTGGTAAAATCTTCTATTGGATCTGAACATGTCTCATATCTTACATAAATGTGTGTTGCTTCCTAGACACGCTGCTTTAACTTAACGTTTAACTTAGCCTCTCTTGTATTTTTAGACACTGTGAGTATTAACATGTCAAATATTCATCAGCGGATTACAAATATAGCTTGAACCCTTTCAGAGGCCACACATACTCGTCTGTATCTGTCCCAGCCTCCCTCCGAGCCCCACGTCTCTGCACTGGTCCCTGGGTTTAAACGACGGGGCCATTTCACTGATTGCGCTGAGCTGTGGGGGGGGGGGGGCCCGTGGAGGATTGGATGAAAAAGTAATGCTCCGGAATAAAAAGGAGTTGGAGTAAAATGTTTGGTCACTTTATAGATAATTTTAGCTTGACCTGGTTTTGGGGCTTTAGAGTAAAACGTAACAGCCCAAAATGTGATGAGTGGCTTAGTACATGATGCTGGGATCTGGAAATAACAACAAACAGCAAACAATAACAACAACAATAAAAAAAAACAAAAAACAATCCATGTCCTTGTGTCCTTGGGCAAGTCACCTCCTCTTTTATTACTGTTTACATTATATTGACTGAACTACTACTGCTGACACAAAATCATATCTGTGCTACCTTTTACTACTACTACTACTACTACTACTACTACTACTACTACTACTACTACCACTACTACGACTACTATTCCTACTATCACTACTATTGCCACTATCTCTACTACTACTACCACTACAACTACTACTAATATTACCACCGCAACTAACACTACTACTGCTACTACTGCCACTACTATTACCGCTACTACTACTACGACTACTATTACTATTACCACTACTACTGCTACCACTACAACCACTACTACTAGTACTACTACCACCACTACTACCACTATCTCTACTACTACTACTACTACTACTACTACTACTACTACTACTACTACTACTACTACTACTACTACTACTACTACTACTACTACTACTACTACTACTACTACTACTACTACTACTACTACTACTACTACTACTACTACTACTACTACTACTACTACTACTACTACTACTACTACTACTACTACTACTAGTAGTATTACTACTACTGCTTCTACTACTACTACTACCACTACGATTGCCACTACTACTATTACTACTACTAGTATTACTACTACTATTACTTCTACTACTACTGCCACTATTACCACTACCTCTACTACTACTACCACTACTACTGCTACTACTATTACTATTACTACTACTACTACTACTATTACCACTACCTCTACTACTACTACCACTACTACTGCTACTACTATTACTATTACTACTACCACTACTACAACCATTACTAGTGCTACCACTACAACAACTACTACCACTGCTATTACCACTACTACTACTACATCGTCTACTACTACTACTACCACTACTACTATCTCTACTACTACTACTACTACTACTACTACTACTACTACTACAACTACTACTAGGACTCAAACCTTAATTGCAATTTGAATAGGCCTTAGTAATTTCCTAACAATAAAATCTAATGTCTCATTCTTCATAAAAACGGCTCACCGTGTAGTTTAGATCTACACAAATGTTTGAAAAGTGATACGTGTTACATTTGAGTCTGTTTGTCAGTTCTTCTGGACGTGTTTAAAACGTGAACTTTGAACTGAATCCTGTATTTTAACCATGAATCACCGATCTAATCCTTGAGCCGTAGTTACTCTTGCTCCGTCGGCGTGGCCTGGTTTCAGTCATTGCTGTAAACAGAAATCCTTTGTTGTGCTATAGGCAGGAGCAGCTGCTGTGAAATTGCCTGAGTCCTGACAGCTTTGTGACAGCTGTCTGACCATTTACTAATTGTTTACGGTGACTGTGGAGAGAAATTACCTTAAATAACGTTGATGTGTGTAGATTATAATACAGGTGCATTAGTTAAATCAAGCTGGGGTTAAGCCTGCGCAATGGGGCTTCTCATGCTGTGTTATTACTCATTTACATAATACCATATGTACACATTAGGGCGGTCGCGTGAATATTCAGCACTACTTCATAATAACTGCTACTTCAACAGCCTTAATAGAGCATCATTTGACAAAAAGTGTTTCCTTTAAAATTAGTTTTACTACTAATTAAAGGAACTGTATTTAAGATTTTCATTTTAAATTCAATAAACATGAACCAGTGGGGTATCCAGATGTACACATCACAGTTCTAATGCTGATTTATCCTTAACTAGAAAAGCACTCAGAGAGCGCAGACCTCCGCCAAGGACTACCCCCATTTTTTATATAAATTGCGATAAAATCAGTCTTCTGGATCAGATCCGGATCAACCTTTGAAATATGAAAGAGGATCCCATTGTCCATCCCTGAGTCAAATTTCATGGGGTTTGGTCAATAATTAACCGAGATATTGAGAAACTAAATTTTTGGCCCCATTTACCACAATGTTAACTAAAATTTCAAAGTGATCCAGAATCCAGGATTTCTTCCGGATCACCCCCAAAATGAAATCAGTTCTTCCTTTTCACATTTCCAACAAATCGTGAAAATTTCATCAAAATCGGTCCATAACTTTTTGAGTTATGTTGCTAACAGACAAACAAACAAACAAACAAACAAACAAACGCCGGCAAAAACATAACCTCCTTGGCAGAGGTAATTACCCTGTTTTTCACACTTTATTTCATAGTCATTGTTTTCACACTGACGGCCATGAGAGGGCACTCTAAGCTCGTGTGCCAGTATCTGCTACTCCTATTATTCCTGTACCACTGTCACTTCACTCTTACTGCGCATGTCTCCTGCAGAAAGAGCATCTGTCCTGTCTGCATCATGTGTCAGAGTCTTGTAGGATTTCAGCATTTTTTTCTCAGGTTCTCCAGGGGGCGGGGCTAGGTGTGTCCATCAGGTATGAGTGGATGTCCAGCTTCTTCAGTTTGAGACATTTCTTCTCACCATTTATGCACTCACCTGCATTTAACGCGTAAGGGTCATTAAGACGTATTTCACTCACTAATCATAGCATCATAACTTATTTTATCACGCAATGATAAACTGTTAATCATATTCTGCAGATTACAAGCTGCAAGTAGTGAAATATGCAGCCGAAAACGGTAATTGAGCAGCAGAAAGAAAGTTTTGGAGTGAGTGAGAGGGACTGGCAAAAAGAGGAGGATACTTGAACTGCAATGAAGTAAACAAAAAAAGGTAATCGCAGGCTAAAAGCTTGATTTAACTAGAGTTGGTAGAGTTGTTCAGAAGTGACACTGAGGATGAAGAATTGAATGGATTTAGTGATTTGGAGTGAGATGGAGAGTTTGGTAAATTTGTTCTGTTCTGTTCTGTTCTGTTGTGAACTGTTCATATGTGACGTTAACAGCCTGTTCTCTGTTCTATTGTTATTACTAGAACTGGACTTTCAAGATAAAATGTTGGTTCTTAGTCTCTGATTTATAAAAAATAAAATAAAATAAAAAATAATCCCCCCAAAAATGCAATTTATAGTCCAGTGTGACTTATATATGTACCACTACTACTACTACTACTACTACTATTATTATTACTACATATTATTACTTTATTATTATGGATTCTTCTGAACTTTAAGCCATGTAGAATGCTGTTACCTCATCAAAAACATACCTGGAGTTGTGTTTTGGTGTGTCTTCAGTATGAGAGAAGAACTCAGCCTAAATATGCAGGATTTGTGTGTTAAACATGCGTGAATGAAACAAAAGAAATCTGTTGATGTAGATGTATTGAATGTTGCACAGATAATGACAATTTGCTGGATCAGATATTGATTCAGTGATATGAGTTCAGCTGATATTCTGGCTGGGCTTTTCATTTGATGTGAGAAGACTATTTACAGGCTGATTTGGGCCTTGAACGTCTCATATTGTTTGAACTCTTGTGTAATAAGTTAACTGTGTTTTAAGGAAATAAGTGCCATTTTCCATCCCTACACCATTATTGGTTAAAGGGCCCATCTCATGCAACATCAACTTTTCAGAGCTTTCTACCTTCTAAGAGTGATGTGTGGGCCTTGTATATGTCGCCGAAGTGGTTTTTAGATTGATTTGGTCTTTTTTTTTTTTTTTTTTTTTAACAAATTGTAGCGTATTTCTGCCACCCTCCCACATGACAACAAACTAAAGCTGCTACAACGATGACGTGGCAGCTGCACCTATGACGCGTTTGACGTAGCAAACCTCCGCTCCGTTTCTGTGGGCATCGGCTGACAATTCCCAGATGAACACCAAAACAAAAGCGACAGCATAAGCTCATTGTTCTACACTGCAGTGTACATGATATAATAAGTTTATTTACTAGTGTTTATTAATACTTTACCAATCAGTAATGTTCAGCTGATGTTGACGCGGTGCTTGAGCTTCGTGCACCTCAAAGTCCTCGTCCGATTCCGGGTCCAACACATGCGGCTGAACGCGCTGTATCGCCATGATGAATAAAAGTTTATTCCTACCACTATCAGGGTGCACGCCTGTCTCCCCCTCCCTCCCTGAGATGGGCGGAGGAAGGGCGGCTCACTCAGAGCCTACGTCACGTTCGGGGGGCGGAGCCTGTGCTTTCTCAGGACGGGCGGGGGGATGAGCAATAGCCGGTCTTTCATAGTTCCTGGTCTGTGACTGTCTCCAAGAAATCAGTAAGATTTCATAACTATTGTGTAATGGATGTTCCAAAACCCAAATAGTGCTTGTACATGTGCAGAAGATACAATGTGAAAAGAGTTATTTTGCATGAGATGGGCCCTTTAATATCAGCAGATGCTTAAAGTCATAGTATAGATATTGCTATCAAAACTGAAAAAGCTGGATCGATGCATCCCCAGAAATCTCCAGGTATGTTTGTGATGGTGAAACAACATTAGAACAGATCAGAAAAATAGTTTAATATTCTACATTAATTCCAGTACTTTTGCACATTTGAAATCATTTGCATTCACCCCACTCAAACACTATCAGAGCTCATACCCGTATCAGACACTAAACATACACTGGGGGAAAGGCCATTATCTTTTCAGACTGATGTGTGGACTCATGCTCACAGTGTCATATTCATAACAGTATTAACTCCCACTTGTTTAACCTTGTCCACTGCCTGTCTATGTGTTTGTACAGGCGCTTTTACCTAAGGCCACTCTGGCAGCTGAAGCGTCGTAGTTGATCCAGAAGGAGACCCAGGACAGGATGGTGATCAGGATGGAGGGCATGTACGTCTGCAGGATGAAGTAGCCGATGTTCCTCTTCAGTTTGAAGCTCAGGGACAGACGTGGGTACGCTCCTGTTCGGAGGACAAGAAGTACTGCTTAGTTTAAGGTTACAACAATGTCAATGGAAGTAAAACAGAAGGAACTTGAAAGGTGAAATGTGTAACTTTTCTGGTAGAGGGTCCGTCAAATGCTTTTCTAAATGGAAATGTTGTTGCTTTGTCCAGAATGTTTCACAGTCTGGTATTAAACCTTTCTATCTTCATGGAGACCAAACCAAATGGACCAAATGGACATAGCCGCTGCGTTCAGATGGGAGTACGTACATTAGAATATTGTGGCTCCTCTCTTTGTAACTGCTGCTGTGAGCCTTGTCATTTTGGTCTTAAAATGTTCATATTAACCCGCTCTACATGATCCTAGTGTTTTGGGGTTTGTTTTTGCTATTTTGTCCATCAAAAAAATCCTATTCATAATATCGGGCCTGGTTCCAAATTCGCCCCTGTAACCATTATGGGTGACGTCACACTCGCTTAGTCCACTTTTTATATAGTCTCTGGACCATTTTACAGGTCAGATCTGTGAAGAGCCAATCCTGCTCACAGTCAGAATGCTTGTTTTTGTAGGCATTTTTTTGCAATAAAACCACCTGTAATTAAATATAAGTAAAGTACCATATTTTTCAGACTATAAGGCGCACTTAAAATCCTTTAATTGTCTCAAAAATCGACAGTGCGCCTTATGTCTTAATTCTGGATGTGTTTACTGACCTCAAACTGATTTTATGTGATGCACGCTGCTCAAAAATCTGTCAGAATGTTTTAGTAAGATGATGGATTGTCAGAACATTATGGCTACCTGCGGAATAAGTTAAACTGACAGAAGGTGACTGCATGATCCACCCACATTAATAATCCACATTCACCAAGACAGGGAGACAACGCCGGGCAAGTTACACCACGATCTGCCAATGGATCGTGGACGCCTGGGCTAAGGATCAGTCTCAAGTGTCGTCCATTTTTCACCTTATAATCCGGTGCACCTTCTGTATGAAAATAGATGAGAGAATTTAACATTACTGATATTGCGCCTTATAATCCGGTGCACCTTATAGTCTGAAAAATACATAGATCTGTTTAAAGTCATACTGTGGAACATTCGAAGCAGAGTGAGGACGTATCCATAGAAACAAAAAGGTGATGGGTCTGTAACCGAACAGTTACACACTGCACTTTGAAAGGAGATATATTATGGAAAAGACTTTTCAGAGCTTTCAGCAGCGTTTTAGTTGTTTTCCGCTCACATATACCCGCTGTATTTATAGTAATTTGTGCATGTTTGACTAATCTTTATTCTCTGCAGTGAAAACATCATTGCTTCGACCTACCTGTTTTCACTGTCGCTGGTCTGACCTATATTACACAAAATGGATTCTTGTGAGTTTTAAGTCATGTTATAATGTTATAATGTTATCTCCTCAAAAACAGACCTGGAGTTGTGTTTTGTTTCATTCCCACATGTTTGAGTAAACCTTATTATTAGTCTGTCTACATCTCCACAGCTCAAAATGCTCAAGTGTTCCACCTTGTGATGTCATGAAGCAGTAGTTTTCAAGTTAACAGCAATTTTTTTTTTTTTAACCTTTTGTTCAATAGAGATGCGCAATTCCAGAGCTGAAATTATCTTGATGGAGGTTCAAAATGAAGTTCAAAAACACAGTGGAGCACTTCCTGTATTACCACATGACATCACAAGTTGGAGCAGAGTGTTTTCTCAGCCTGAATACACAGGGTTTGAGTGTGAATGACACAAAACACAACTCCAGGTCTGTTGATGTATTTTTGTATGTGTAGTTGTATGAAGTGTTGGAAAAAAACTACTCAACTTAAGTAAAAATACAGATACAGGGGCAAAAAGTATCACATTAAAGCAGGGGTGTCAAACTCATTTTGGTCCGGGGGCCATATCCAACCTACTTTGATCAAAAAACTCATGTCATATAAACCCCAAAAATAACAATAAGTTCAAATATTTGTGCAGAGAAACACAAACTATTACAGAAATCTTTTTTAATTGATGAACTCTTTCTTTTACAAAATATTATAATATTATGAACAACCTGAAACTTTAAGAAAAATTCAATTTCAACACAATGTTTTAACATGAACTTGTATGTAAATATGAATAAGTCAATTTTTGTTGCAAAATCCTGCACTCGGCTCCACTTTTCTCATGTTGGACATTTTTCTGATGAGGGTGTCACGGTCAACAGTCAAAACGATCGTCCTTTAAGAGCGTTTGGAAAGAGACAAGTCTTCATTTGTGCTGCTCTGGTGGGAGGGGCCACGTACAGAGACGCTGGAGACGCTGCTGCGATAAACACCACAGAAAATTAACAAGATTTTAATAGAAAATATAATTAAAATATTTTTGTAAAAAATCATCCAAGGGCCACATTAAAGGCCTTGGAGGGCTGGATCTGGCCCCCGGGCCTTATGTTTGACACCTGTGCATTAAAGTAATCAACCAGTAGTAACAAAGTACCCTTTTGAAAATACAGTATACTTCAAGTCAACCCGGCGCACGTACACACACACACTCACACACTCACGAATACACACACACACACATTTTATTGCATTATCTCGCCACAGTTAATTATCAGATCTGAACCTAATTATTTTCAAGTGCACTGATTCATGAGGTAATCAGCTCCTCGAGAGTTGTGCGATGCCAGCCGAACCATCTCCACAGAGTGTCAATCAGGAATACAATCTGAATACAAAGAGCAACGGTACCCCCGGTAACAAGACCAATGCCCTTTATTTGATTTATTTTCGTGTGAGATTTTCCTGGAGTGACAGCGGATCCTGAAGTGCGTTTTTTGCTTATCACGGCTCCATCTAAAAAAAAACAAAACAGAGTCAGCGTGTACCGTATATTCTCCGCACCGGGGGATATGAGGTATTTTGGTATGAAAACAGCTCACTTTTGAGAATACTATATTTTGAATAAATTTGGTTGCGTCTTTTGACAGTTGCTGGGGGTTGTTTGGCGTTGTACTGCTTGTTTGTGCGCTTTTAAGATATGTTATAATGTTGTTGCCTCATCAGAAACAGACCTGGAGTTGTGTTTTGTTTCATTCACATTCAGTTTGCGTAATCTTTTATTATTAGTCTGTCTCCATCTACAAGGCTCAAAATGCTCTGTTCCACCTTGTGATGTCATGTAATGGTAGGTTTCTTTTACCTTTTGTTAAGGGGAGATCAATTCTACGTCTTAAATCCAAAATCAAACATGTCAAACTAAAATTTTGGCCCACAATATTAATTATTTTATATTGTTCTGGATTCAATGTTTAAGCAAGCGTTTATTTTAATAAGAAAAGGTTTAACATTATATATCTTGAAGATGTTGATGCAGATGTTGTTAAAATTTTTCAATAAATGTTTAGTTTGGCGCATGAATTAGTCCCACTTTTTTGTTTTGGCCCTCTGTGAATTTGAGTTTGACACCCCTGATCCAAATGATTCTAGTAAAGGTGTATGGAGTTTAAAAACACAGTGGGGCACTTTCTGTATTACCACATGACATCACAAGGTGGAGTGTTTTCTGTTTGAGAAAAAACTCCACCTAAATATGCAGGATTCAAATGTGTGAATGAAATAAAACACAACTCCAGGTCTGTTTGTGAGGAAACAGCATTATAACATCCATCCATCCATTTTCTTCCGCTTATCCAGGGCCGAGTTGCAGGGGCAGCAGTCTAAGCAGGGACTCTCAGACTTCCTTCACCCTGGACACTTCCTCCATCTCCTCCAGGGGGACCCCAAGGGATTCCCAGGCCAGCCGAGTGACAGTTTCTCCAGCGTGTCCTGGGTCTTCCTTGGGGCATCCATCCGGTGGGACATGCCCAGAACACCTCTCGAGGGAATCGCCGAGGAGGCATCCGGAACATTATACATTACTGCATAGATAGGCCCTTTCAAGGTGCAATATGTAACTTTTCTTGTGGAGGGTCTGTCAAATTATCCTGATTCATCAACCTGTTTCACTTCGTACAAACTGTCTGACCTCGCAGCATTATGATTCATTCTCTTGACGGTAGGCGGGTACTTTGTTAATTTAACCAATCACTGCTATTTGGTTGTGACGTATGTAATGCGCCGCTAATAGGGCTAACCAGTATATTAAGCTTTTCCTGAATCCCGTAGGAAGAAGGGCAATAACGTCTTTCCCCTTGATAAAATTCACCAAACATTCTCTTTGTTCCGGCTTTAAATCCTCGATCTTGGGAATCGTTGCCAACACAGAATATGTGGCTCTTCGCTGATTGGCTGGTGCCCGAACTCGCACTTCCGGGGTTTTTGCGAACCGTCTAGTGCAGGGGTGCCCACACTTTTTCAGCATGCGAGCTACTTATAAAATGTCCAAGTCAAAATGATCGACCGGCTACAAAGCCAAGTAAACTGCACTGGACTTAAGAGAACTTTCAATAGCACTTTACAGAAAACTGAAAAAAGTGAAGACAGTGATTTTTAAACCTGTTTTTTCAAGTTCCTAACTGGAGTTACATGGTTAGTACTGGTTTTACAGTGGGATTTAGCCTCTGCACATTTACCAAACCAAACACACGTCGTGACAAAAACGAATGTATTTGTGCACATTTATTAGGCAAACTTCAGCCACATGTCGCGTAGCCCCGAATTCAGGTCAGCTGCGCTTAACGTAGGCGGAGCTGCTGCTAAATTTCAAAGTTTCAATTCACACCAGAGCATCAGACACTCCTGTACGCAGCCTGCACATCTTCTCACTGTTTTTCAGACATCACATTTTGTACTGCTTTTTATCATTTATTTTATGTTAAAGTGTATTAAGTTAGAATGTGTATTAAGTGTATTGTGAATTAAGTGTACAACTGCAACGCATTTGCGTTAATGAGGTTTAATCTATTAGCACGCACATTAAACACCTCAGGTTTTTTTTTTTTCCCTTAATAAGATTACGTATAATTAACATACATTATGAGCGTGATTAAAATCTTATGTCGTCCAGTAATAAGGCCTATACTTTT